TGCACTATTTAAAATAAGGGAAATAATTATTTCACTGGCATTTTCTGTCTGTTATATTAATATTTGTAAAAATGGTATAGAGACATTAATAATGATTTAAAATTCTTATGATATATTTCTTTTTAGTAATAAAAAGTGCATTGGAAATATGAACTTCATTGAATTGATATTATATAACTTTTTATGTTTTAGAATATCCATGTGTTTAATAATAAGTAATAAATAAACAATTACTGAAAGAATAACCCCAGATAACATAGACAGTGGAGCTGGTGATTCTGTGACAAAGTCCTTTATGTTGTTTGGGTTTTTTTTAATTAATTAAGTTTACTGGTACATTATAGATACACAGAATGATCACATTCATTATAGGGAATTTGTTCCATGATATATCTTGATTCATCTTTTTTCCCCATTCCCCTGCCCTCCCTTCAATGCCTCTTCCTCTCCTTCCTTAGAAATGTTGTTTCCATGTTTTTCCTTTCTTTTTTTTTCTTCTCCCTTCCATTTCCTTCCCTCCTCCCTAATTCTCCTTCCCATCTGACAAAGTTCTTTTTCAATGTCATGGCACATCTTCTTTAGATAATATCATTTTCTATCAGCTATCTTGACATTCTTGAAGGCTTGAGAAACTATTGTTATAATCGAGAATAGATGTGATAACCTGTCTTCCCATATATTACCTGCCTAAAATGTATCTACAAATTAAAAATGAAAGATTTACTATTTGATTTTCATATTTTATCATTCTATAAAATTTTAAGCTTTCCTAAAGAGTAATGCATTAACCCTAGGGCAAATTAATTAATCATAATAAAAGATTAGTAATCAGATTATTCTGAGTTCTGAATTTTTATTGAAAATAACATCTTAAAGATATTAAAACTCTACTTGGGTTGGGGATTTAACTCAGTGGTTCTGTTACCTGCCTTGAAATCACAAGGTCCTGAGTTCGATCCCCAGTACAAAACAAAACAAAACAAACAAACAAAAAAAAAACCTCTAGATGCATTCAATAATTTATTTAACTCATAAATTAAGTAAGCATAGTAAGGTATTTAAAACATTTGAGGCACAAAGATTTGATGATAGAATGTATATGAAATTATAGGAATTCAAAGAAAGAATGCATTAACAAAACAAAAGACAGAGCAAAAGAAAGACCTTACAGCATACTGGAAGAATTTACTGCCTAGACAAGATCATACATTTGCTATTGAACACACATTCTAGTTTGACCACCATCATCACCATGAACTGTGAGCAAGAGAACAAAAATATGAAAACAGTGGATGATCCAGAAAAAAACTATCAAACAAACCAACAAACAATAAACCTCAATGACAATGAGTCATTAGATATTGTTTGGTATGATTTCAAGCATTTGAAAGGGCTCTACAGGTATAATGAAAGAAATATGCAGTTATTGGAGGAGATGATAAAATACACTGTATATTCAAGGATAATTCACATTATAAATTTTGTGTCTAAAATTAAGACAGAACTTTTTAACTGGGTATCATTTTTAACTGTACTAAGGTATATGTCTATTTTGACAGAAAACCACCACTTAAAATGCTGTAATACATAGGAAAAGGATACATTATTGGTGCTTGGATGATGTAGTGCAAAAGGATGGAGTGAAATTAGCAGAAGCCAAGAAAAAAATGTATGAAATCCAAACATGGAGATAAGACCAGGGCATTTGTAGACTGAAACTAAAAGAGTCAGGTCAAGCTTTTCTCCAGAGTTTCTTTAAATCTAGACAAAGAGATCCATGATATAAAAGGTAAGATTGGAATCACTTGCAGGAAATATCCTAAAATTTCCAAAATTCATTCAAGTCTCGGGCTCTTCAACTTCTTTTCTGTGATTTTCCCAATCATTCCATTAATAAAGTAGCATTTTCACTAAAGAAGTATTTCCCTTTTAAAAGCAATGTAGTCTTCTGTGGATTGAGATCCAGTTTCCAATTAGCTTAAATTTAAGCCTGAATGTTTAGGCTGTTCACAGAAATAGCTAAACATAGAAAAATTATAGAAAGGGACACCTCAGCCTAGATTCTATCACATAATAAATTCTGTGACTCTGTGCAAGTTTCTTAATATTTTCAGTCATCATTTCTGCCATTTGTCAAATGCAGAGAATTCTGCTATTACTTCAACATGACTTTCTAAGGTTATTACATAGTAATGTCAGACACATGAGAATTCCTAAAATATTATCTCTCACTCAAAGCTTTCTCCTCAAAATACCAGACTCATGTATTTGATATTTTTGTTTGAATATTTCATTAGTTTAATAAAAATAACATATTTACAATCAAATAGTTGTTCCAGCAATTCAATCTGCTCCATTCTATACCCTCTCCATTTCAGAAAAAACAAACTAGCATCTACCATGTTTTCCTACCCAAATTCTTCACTTACTGCCTACCACATCATATCTAATTAATATAAGATGAATAAGCAAAGTATTTGCAAATGATAAATATTAGTCATCATAATCACTATGTGTGTGCTAAGATTTAGACTTATAAAATATAAATAGGAGAATCCCTATAGGATGTCCAAAATTCTCTAAATTTTAACAAATTATGACCCAAACTAAATTCTAAGTGCAGTAACAAGAGCCTGAGTAGTTTCAGATACAAGTCCACTAGATAAAGACTCAATTTTCATAGATCTTAAGCAAATCTGGCCCTGAGATAGTACAGGTAAGTGATAATGAGAAGAAGGTAGCACAGATTGTTGAGACTGCAATATATAAAATGTTCTTTTTCAATGAACCATTCTCTGTGGAGAAGGATATTTTCAGTACCAGAATATACATGTAAGTATGACAGATGTGACTATTGCAGCCTAAGTTGCATTCTTATTTGTATTTATCCTGGTCCTTTTGCAGGTTAATTGCTTTTCTTAAAAGGTGAGATGAATAAAAAATAAGCATATTTATAAAAAAAATCAAAGACAATGTGGCAATTAGGAATCCGAATTGAAGAAGACAGTCTAAATGATTTCAGAAATAGAAGGAAGCACAAGAAACTTTAAACTCTAAACTGAGACTATATGATCAGCAGAGTCTATAACAGAAAAAGGCCCATATAGACTCTCACAAGACCCTGTGCTACATTTCTATTTAAGTCAGTAGCATGATCCCAGGACACTTAGTAAAATGGCTCAGCTAACCAGGACACTATATGAACTGAGATACTGAAGTAGGTAAAGACTCTGGCTAGACCTTTGGGCATAGATGCAGTGGAATGGTTCCAAGCATAATCTTTTAAAGAATGTGGAGCGAAGAATAGAAGACTGCACTATGCTACTCACCATTTTGTAATGAAAAGACTTGCTATCATGTTAATTTTGGTATAGGATATGATAACATTATCAGAAAACTTTACCTATACTTATGCACTAATGATCATTAGATGACTAAGTCAGAAAATTCTCCATACTTGTAAATAAACTGGAACTGCAGATAATTAGAAAACCTTGTCCAAATATTTTCCAGGAAAGTATAGACCATTGCATTGCCTAAATTTTCTGAAATAGGATAGGAGATCATGTACCATTGTTTTATCTATAAAAAAGGCCCCAAAGGTTTGATATTCTTATGTACTCTGATGACCTTCTTTACCTTGAGAATTTAGGATGCTATCATAAGTTTACAAAGCCACTTACTTAAAAATGCACCAAAACAAATAAAATAGGATAATAAAAATATTATGAAATATTTTAAAAATTAAAATTACAGGATCATATTTATTAATAAATTAATATAAAGCAAGAGAATAGCTAGGTTGACCTGTAATTAAACAGGAATAATATAACTGTTCATTCTCTTCATTGATAGGAACTAGTTACATTAGATTTTAGTAGACTTTTTATTTCTGGTTATGAATTCCTCATCCTTTTTCTCTCAAGAAAGGGTGCAATTACTTCCTAGTAGCAAGCAGAATATCTGTTGAGTGAGATTATTTCTCTAGGAGAAATATCAGGATGATTCAGAGAAAGCCTTATCTCAAAAGAATGAATTCTTTTCTCTATACCTTATAGCATGTGTTTAAAAGCTGACCATTGGTTGCTCAGCACTCTGCATGTAAGATATCCAGAGTATGCCAGCAACTCCAAAGAAAAATTGTTCCTTTGACCTTGGATACAATATAATTATAATTTCCTCATTAAATGGCTGACAAAGTTACAGTGGATAATTGAAGCTCATTCCCTCTAGAAAGGTTCAGAATTCAGATTAAGATTCTTGTAAAAATAATACCTGGATGATACAGAGTTCAAGATTTTCAGTGTTTCATGGATGCTCTATATGTGTGTTATAGATTAGGAGATATTATCAATATGAGATGTTGTATGACACAATATGGTAGCCACTAGCCATGTGTGGTGCTTGAACTGTGGCTTGAAACACATAGTGAAATGATAATAATTGGGTTATATTAAATTAAGGATATTATTAAAACTAACTTTCCCTATTCATTTTATAAATATAGATGGTGATTTCAAATTACACATGCAATTGGCATTATATTTGCAGTGGTCAGCACTCTTACAAATATTTATTTAATATTTACTAGCTTAGAGACAAAGCAAGACTACATGTATAAGTGAGTAACACAGAGTAAACCACTGAAAAAAATCAAACTATTTTTGTTGACTATGAAAAGGTTAAATTTAACCCCTAATCATGGAGATGTTTCTCCAAATTATCAAATCTATTGTATTTTGGCTATTTATGCTTTCTTTACCAAAGAATTTAAAGTGCTTTACTAGTCACAATACATCCCTTATACTGGAGGATAGTTATTACCATAAATGCTCCATATAAAATTTCTACTTAATTTTTCCTCTCTCAAATCTCTCAGGTGACAAAATAGTTCACAAAGGTATGAATCAAAATTTATATCATATAGTTTATTCTTCAGTTCTTCAGGGAAATCAGTCTGGTCAAGTTTCATCCTCAGAAACTATTGACACCATCAAGACATGCCGCCTGAGGAGTTCCAGAAAGTGTGTAGAGAAAGGGTTGAAAAGGTATTGTGCAATGTTCATGAAACAGAGAAGGAGCAGAAGCATTTGCCCTTCCCAAAGCATTACTTAAAGAAAGTAAATTCAGAGAGATGTGTGTTACATAGATGCTTTGCTATAAAAAAGAGATTATGGGGTTTCACACAGATGCCAATTCTCATTAAACCCCATGACAAAATATACATCACTTTTTGCCTATTTATTTATACTAAAATCTATTTGAGAATTAAGAGAATTTCAACTTTATTGATAGTTGAAAATATTTATAAAATAATAAGCTAAATAGAAAATATCTGTATTCTAGTTGAAATTTTCAGAAATGGTGGATATTTTAAAAACATCATTAAAGTTTACATGTCATAAGTTGACATGTTAAAAATAGTGCCAAATTAACAACGGTACCAAAAGCAAAGGATTTTTGTTATACTCGCTTTGAGTGAGGCAATGAAATCCTAACCTAAACCTAACCCAAACCCTAACCCAAAAACTCTTGATTTTCACAAAAGTTATTCTGAAAGTTGGATGCTTAGATTTGATTTGGGAAAAAAGGAGGTACATCTAAGAATTACACCTGTTCCCTCAATATTCTTTACTGATCACCCCAGTTATATCTAGTGTCTATCTCTGAGCTTCTGGGAGAGAGGAAGACAGTATTTTTTGTTAGAGGGAAGGGGACAGGGAAACCGATGAGACCTTAATAAAGCAATACTTATGAGTCTATGGGGCTTTCAATGAGGTCAAATAACTGAAATTCACTGTATATAAATTTCTGCAGATCTATCCAATAAAGAACAAAAATGAACACATGTGCCAGGCTCTCATCATATGCAAAATAGTGCTTGAACACCTTTCTGCAAGGAATGGGTATGAACATGACATCACAGGGATGAAGAAGTTGCTTGAGGGCCTCAACTACACTGTGGCTATGAGAGACAACCTTACAGAAAGGGTGAGAGACACATTCACACCCCAAACTCATGTACATGCAAAACATAAATTTTACTAGCAAATTAGCTTTATAGTGTTGAATAAAACCAAACAACTTAAGATATTTATGTGTGTGTGAGCATGCACATGTGCACCTCACCAAAATGAAGGAATTAGATAGAATGTATATGTCTCTTTTGAACTGCAACTTTCATCAGTTGCATGCAACTGCACAGAAATTGATTGGCATGGGTGTCCAATAATTCTTAGTTGTCTTAGTCAAATATTTGGGATTCAAGCAAAAAGATTGCCAGAACAGTAAATTTTCTTTTTTACTTTTTAAAATTTTTTTATTTATTTTTATTTTTGTTTTTTTTGAGACAGGGTCTTACTATGTAGGTGAGACTGACCTGGAACTAACTATGTAGCCTAGGCTGGTCTCGAACTCACAGTGATCCTCCTGCCTCTGCCTCCTGAGTGCTGGGATTACAAGCTTGTGCCATGATGCCCGGGGAGAATAGTGAATGTTAAGAGGGTGCATATTAATGCAAATATCAGTTCTGATTTTGTAGGGATTCTTCATGTCACTGGATATAGGTCTGCAAAAGAGATAAGAAATTCCTCTTTGGCACAAAGGTAAATTAGAGAGAGAAAATACAAATGCAAGGAAACCATAGATTTAGAGAGGTATTTATAAATAAAAAGAACAAGAACAACGTAAATGAAAAACAGAACATAAGAGAGAAAAAGGTAATATGACTGACATACAAATATATAATATGTTAAGTAAATTATGCTATATCAGGAAGTGCAATAAATATGAAATCCATTGCCCTGTTCAGAGAGAAATATGAAACAACTGACTTTATGGAGTACCACTATGTACAGCCACTTTGTTCAGAATATTATATATGTTTCCTATATTGATCAAAGTAAATCTGGGAGGTCAGACTAATGTTGTGATTTGTCCTACTGAAGTAAGACTTTGACCTCTTCAAGGATATGATATGAGCATTAGTTGAATTTGCTGGCAAACTGGAGCATAAGTCTTCAGACAGCACATTTTTAGAACTTATGTCTCATGGCATTCTACAAGAAATATGTGAAACTATGCATGGTGACAAAAACCCCAATGTGCTTCAATATGACACCATCTTCAGCATATTCAACAATCACATTTTCCCTGGTCAAAGAGACAAACCCAAAGTCATCACTGTAAAAACCTGCAGAGGTGGTGAGTTATCAGACAGAAAATCGCATAGTTCTGAAGGGATTTTCAGAGGAATAGCATACGTGATGTACATCAGTGAAAAACAACCATAGGTCCTATCTAGTGCAAGTGAACTAAACATAACTATTAGAAACCCCTTCTGAGATGGTGCCATTAGGAACTGGCTGCTCAGCTCATAAATTTTTCTACAATTTTAATTCATAGTAAGTGGAAGAGAAATGTGCAGAATCTGTTAAGAAGATAAACAAAAATAGTCAAGCCTTGGAATAGAATAATTTTAATTACAGCTTCACTTGCAATTGTTTATATGTTACTTGACTTGAGAGGATTGGTACTTGATAGACATTCTGCAATATAGCAATTGAGAGTTCAGTACCCCATCGTACCAACAGATAGATCATCTAGGCAAAATTTTCATTCAGAATCATCAGATTAAAATATACTAAAGATCAGAAAAACCTAAGAAACATTGACAGAATATTCCATCAAACAGCAAGAAGATACAAGTTTCTTATCAGAACAAGGAACTTTTTCTGAGATAAATCATGTTCTAGGCCATAAAATTGTTTTAGTAAATTCAAAAATAGTGAAATAATTTCCATCTTCCAAAATGAAAATGAAATTGAGTTCAAACTCAGCAAGAGAAACTACACAAAATATACACACACAGATCTGAATACACTGAGCTACTGAAGAAATCAGGGGCCAACCTATACCAGAATCAAATGAAAATTTGCACACAACATACCAGAACAAATGGGGTACAGCAAATATAAATTTGGGAATTTTATAGCAAGGACTGCCTTCATCAAAAGACAAAGAGAAGGAGAGGGAGGAGAGAGAGAGAAGGAGACATTAAATAAGTAACATAAGGATGCAGTTCTGGGTTCTATAAAAAAACAAAGCAAATACAGTATTACTAATTGAAAGAAGTAATAAGGATGAGAAGGAAACTAAATGTAATAGAGATAGAAATAATTATACAAAGACTATATGAAGCAAAGTGTTTGTTCTTTGAAATGATAAATAGACTGGCGAAACTAACCAAACAAAATGTATAAAACAAAACAAAACAACAAATAAAACTAAAGGTGAAGAAAAGGTGGTGTGTTACAACAGATAAGAAAGAACTCCAGGGAGTCATTAAGGAATATTTTGATAAATTATCTGCCTTTAATTGAAAGATCTATAAAATGGTCACATTTCTAGACAGATATGAATTACCAAGATTGAACTAAAAGTATATGAAAAAGTATTACTAAAAAGATCAATACAAAGTAATGAGATTGAAGAAGTAATAAAATGGCCCAGCCCAAACAAAAAAAATAATAAGCCAAGTATTGGATAGATGTACTGCTGAGTTGTACTATTTGATTTTAAAGAGGTAATAGGAATGCTCCTCACAACTGTTCATGAAATACAAAAGGAGATAACCATTCCCAATGTACAATACAGGGCAGCACAATACTGCTACCAGAATCCAATGGGGACACGTTAACCATAAAATTATGAATCAGTATTCATTATATTATAGATGCAACTATACTTGATAAAATTATTTTTCACTGAATTCAACTGCATACTGAAAAGTTCATATACTATGATCAAATTGATTTCATTCCAGGGTTGCAGTATTTGTTCAACAAACAGATTAATAAGTAGCACATAACTAGAACCAAAGATAAAAATATCATATGATCATCTCAACAGATGTAGAGAAAGCCAGGAAAATATCCCATGATGATAAAATCCCTGAATAATTTTGGCATACAAGCATAGCCTGAAACAAACTAGAAGATATTATGAGAAACTCATAGCCCAATATTATACTGAATGGCCTAAAACTGAAAGCATTTACTCTAGTACCCAGAATAAAACAAAGATGTCCACTATGACTAATCTTTTTCAATATAGTACTCTTATATTTTAGCAGAAAAACTTAAAGTTTCTACCAAATGAGTCCAAGAATTGCTAAAATTGATAAAATAGCAGGAATTTTAATTCAACATAGTATAATTAGTAACTTTCCTAAATACCAATAATGAACTGCCTGAAAGAGAAATCAGAAAAGTTATTGATTCACCATAGACTCAGGAATATACACACATACATACATAGAAATGAACCTAACTTAGGAAGCAAAAAAATCTATAGTGAAAATTGTAAAAAAGATCAGACTGAAAGGTAGAAAGATTTTCCACAAAAAAGTATTGTGATAATTAATATTGTTAAAATGGTAATAATACCAAGGCTATTTATATATTTGACAAAATCATCATGAAAAGGATAATTACATCCTAGTCAAGCAACCCTAAATCTTATATGAAAACATAAAAATTTTAAAACAGCCAAAGCAAATTATGAACAAAAAGAACAATGCTAGAGGCATCATAATACTTCATTTAAAAATACACTACAGAGCTATAGCAACAAACCTAACACAGTACAAATGTGGAAATGAAAAGAATAGACTAGAGGGTCAAGAATAAATGTATGGAATAAACGTATACATGTACATCCAACTGAAAAATAACAAAATGTCAAAAATATGTAGTGGAGATAAAACAACCTATTAGAAAGGATGCTTTTGAAGCTGGATGTCCACATGTGAAAAACGGAAACTCTAGCCCAATTTCTTATGCTGCACAAAAATCAACTCAATAACGATAATATCCTTTAATGTAACACTTGAAACTTGGTAATAATTAAAAAGAAAATGTATGAGACTCACTTCAACATGTGGACAGAAGCAATGATTTGCTATGCGTGTAGAACTACAATTAGGAAACAAAAGCAAGAATTAACAAGATAAATGAGAGTCCATCAAATGATAAAGCTCCTGTGTAGTTAGAGAAATAGTGAACAGAATTTAAAAACAGCCCTTAGAATGCATATAATTGTTTAGCAGCTATTCATCTGACAGAAGATTAATATCCTGAATATTCAACGAACTAAAGAGTAATAGATGAAGGATAAATAATCAAATAAAAATGAGCAAAGTATCAGAATGGACAATTCTCAAAAAAAGAGCTCTAACTGGCCAATGAACCTAGGATGAAATGCTCAATATATTTAGCTGTCTGGAAAGTAAAAATCAAAATGACATTGAGATTTCATCTCACCGCAGTTAGAAAAACTATTTTCCCAAAAATAAAAGTCACCCACGCTGCTAAATATGGAGAAAAATGAACCCCCTACATCATATTGGCAAGAATATCACTTTGTATATCTATTATGGAAAATAGTATGGATTTTACTGAAAAAAAAAACTATAAATAAAAAGACAATGGGATCCAGAAAAACAAAGCCTGGCTATGTGTACAAATGAAATGAAGTCAGGATGCAAAACAGATCCTGCTTAACAATAACTACCAAGATGATGTCCATAATGCTAAGGTAAGAATAAGAATCATCTTACTTGTACTTAAACAATGAAAAAATAAAGAAAATAGGGTACATTAACACAATAAAGTATTGTTTATTCATTAAGAAGAAACAGATCATGTCACTTATAGAAAATGGATGGACCTGGAAGACATCAAGTTAAGTGAAATAATCCAGGTACAAAAGGACAAGTATCAGGTCTTTTCTCACACAGGAAAGCTAAATTTTAAAAAATGAATTAAAAGTAGAAAAGGCCCCTTAAATAAATGGCAATTTTCCTGAGAGAAGAGTTCAGAGACTGGAGGGTGAGAGATTTTAGAAAGGAGCGTGGACATAAACATGGCACAAAATATACGTGTGTGGAAATGCTATGATGAAATACATTAACTCTAACAATATATGTTAATTATTATAACAATAAAATATTTCAAAAAGAGAAAATAGAGTCACTGTAAATAAAGGATACCTTCCTTTCTCCTTACGGTTGATGGGTATGTAGTAATGAGTTAATGGAATATGGAGACATTATAATAAATATTTATTTTTATTTATTCCTGACAAAGATAGCAAAATATTTAAAGCAAAAATAATTGATTTAAAATCTGGTAGCTTTGCTCTAAAATTTTGAAGATTAGGGTTTAATTCTTTTTTTTTTCACCTCAGCAAATGGTTTCTACCACATTGTTGTACTGTCTCTATTTTTCAGAAGATGCCATCACTATTAAAGGCAGTAGAGATAAAGCATGTGTGTGTGTGTGTGTGTGTGTGTGTCTGTGTGTGCACATGTGTAACTGATTAGAATGAACAGGGAAAAAAACAAGGTAGGTCAATGCAAAAAAGCTTTTGTGCAAGAGGACAAGATAAATACATATGGAATATTTAGTAAATGTGTTTGTCTAAATTCATGTACTAACATTGTTGGAAGTGATGAGTAATGAGTCTGACAAAATATATGAGGAATATATTTTCAAGATTTTAAAAGCTACAGTAATAAATCTGTACTGAGAAATATGGGATATCAAAAAATAAATCTAACAGACTAGATTTGGGGAGTTAAATTAATATTGTTGTAGAAGGAATTGGTAAATGACATGTACAGAGAAGCAGAATGGAAGTAAAATAATAAGTTTATTTTGTTGACAAAATGTTGATCACACTAAGTGCTAGAGATCAACCTCGTACTGCATTATAGCTTCTTCTGTTATAGGTTTTACAGCTATAATCTCAATCAGGTGGTTACATTTCATTTCCTCAGTTCATATTACCCATGTACAAATTACTGTAACAAGACAGTTAACTTTAACCCAGGCATAACAATTCCTCGTAGTTAGGGGTTTACCTTAAGATTCGTCTAGCTCTCTATTTTAATTCACAGGAAGGGGGTGTTCAAGGTCAGGGATGAGGCCAGAGGTCCCATTTCATGGTCAATTATGCCAGTGTCTGTTAATTTTAAACTAAACAAAGCAGATTGCTGTCAGAGACAACAGAAGTGATTTTACATTTTCCTAATATTTTGTAGGTTTTTAAATTATTTATAAAAGTTTTCTCTATCAATATAAATACATATCAAAATCCACCTATGCCACCTACTACTACTTGTATGTTTTTATGTATGATTAATCTTTGTTAGGTACAGATTTTTATCCGTGAGAATTAACATTAATAATTTTATAGTATAGTAAGGATTTCATATGTTGAAATATCAGAA